AAGGGGTCCATTTTAAACAAGCGGATCAGACCTACCGGTTCGGCCGCTACAACCCTTTCTTTTTCTGTCAATGACCTCAAAGCTTGGTGGGTAATTTAAGCTTTATTAGGTGTGTAGGTAAAATGAATGGGAGTATAGCCCATATTATCAGAACCCTATCATTGTAAGAATGTTGTCTACGCTCGCTGATGTTCTTGGTGTTAATACCAGTCGCAGATGTTGCGAACGATTTATCTTTTCAAAGTCTATTAACAGCAATTTGCTCCTTTTCTCGGGGCGTGCACTTTCCTATCGCAATCGGTACACTCATTTTCACAATGCCTACCCTCGTAAAATCGTTGGGATCGGTTACATGTGCTTCAGTCTTGCTGCTGCCGGAGGCATATGGTATTTCGGATTTGGAAGGTATGCAGGTTTTTCCCGCTTTGTTAATGATTATTTAGGGGACGATCTTTGGATGAGCGAATTGACAAATACTTTGGGAAGGAGAAAGAAGTAATCGACTTCACTTCATAAACACTTTTAAGCAGAATTTTATCAAGAAAGTGGATTGCTTGTCCCCTTCTGAAGAGACAGCCACAGAAGAAGCTGCTGGCGATATCGAACCGCCACCCAAACCCAAGAGCGGTTTTCGAAATCGTAAGGTAGGATAACTGATTATGTAAATCCGGTCTCTTAGTACAATTTCCAACAAAACCTTTTTCCTACATTTGAAGCTTTGCATTATACTTTGTCAGGTTCAGAAATAATGCTCACAAGCATCCCAAAACCAAACTTGACAGATGATTCCAAAAACAAGCCTAACCAACCAACAAGCCTTGTTAAAAACCGGGAACGTATATGCACCTAGTGCCATTGTGAGATTTTATCTCAAAATTTTTGTGATTTCCACATTTAGCTTTGCATTCCTAGGATTTTTATTCTTACTCTTGACCACAGTCATCTATGTGGGGCCAATCCTTATTCCCGGGCATTTGATCGACTAGGATAGTTATTTGTATTTTGTCATAAAATGATCCCTTAGAACGTTCTAATATGGTTACGAAACTTCTATTTTCACTAACTGTCTTGATTGCAGTTTTATAGTTGAATTTCTTCCGGTGGCCATGACTGATCAATTAAACTAACGTATTACATTTTAGAGCCTGAGGTTAGCTCATATCTCAGTTTGTTAATTTTTATTACTTTTGATCTATTAGGCCAACATTTCGTGAGCAATATTTTATGAGATTATTAAAAAGTAGATTTTATACGGTAAAGCATTTCGATTTCTGTTATTTATTTAAAGCTTTCGAGTGGGGTGTTAAACTATGTTAAGATGCACATATCTCTTAATAAATTGACGCTTAAAACCGGCGATCTTCACGGACATGGATGACTACTAGAAGGTTTGATGATGACCTAAAAAGAACTTGACGGCTAACAATGAGTTATATCAGTTAAGATGATAGAAAAGACCGCCAAATCTTAAGTATCGATTTATCAAGAATTTAAGGCAGAAAAAGTACAGTAACTAGGCGCCGAAACCCCCAGAACTGCGCGAGTATGTGTGCTATTATCGATCAACATCTAAGAACCGGAAAGATACCTTGTTTGGTTTACAAGTCTTCGCTCAGTGGTCTGAGTTTCCACTTAGAATCTCAACGTCCAGTCTAGTTTCTACATACGTGCTATAACTGCTTCAAGTATACTGTTTTGTGAGTCATAACTCTGCGGGAAATTGATCTCCTTTCCCAAACTATATTTTATGGTGAGCGGTGGAAGGAGACCGCGCTTGTTGTCAATATCGGAAACACGGATAAAAAGGGTGTACAGAACACAGAGCATTTTCAAATTTTAGAGAAGAATATAGTTACCTTTATGCCCTTGTGTGAGCTTTTAACCAATGACCCAATTTTTTTAACTTAACAACAAAGTCAGCATGCGAAATGGATTCTTCCGAAGTTTACAAATAGATGCCGTCTGAAGTCTAATTCAGTTGCTTATCAGTAACTTATAATCCCATCGTTGGATGCTATGAATAACCGGCGAACCCTTATATTTACTTGGACAATTCTTTGCCACGCCCAACAATTTTATATTGACAGGCTATAGGAACTTAATTGACACAACATCTTGCATTTCAGTTACGCACACACGCAGAACAAACCAGTCAAGTTCAGACTCTTGAATTATCTAATTGTGGGATGACAATTCACGTTATATTCCCTCCTAAACATGCACACCAAAGTCCAAAAAATATCTTTGTCATTAATCCTTAACCATATATTTTTCCACAAGCGGGTGCTACTTTATTCGGACATGTAAACGGTTAGAGAACCTCTAGCTGTGGATTTCCACAGGCTTTAGAAGGTTCTCGAGGCTTGGCCTTCCTTTAAGGAATTTGTGTTTACTGGGTGTCGAAAGTTTTATCCTGGTCGAATACCGACGTGTGCTTTTTCAGACATTTTTCATCAATCTTCGTGATAATCTAGTAAACAACCTGCTAGCACTATTTTTTGATAGAAGATTCGCTAATTATTCAGACTGTTCCATGTTGTAGGTTCAAAAAACCTCCAAATAATCACTGTCCATTACAGTCGGTTGAGAAGGCAAGAGCCTTTGAAAGATGGGACTAGCTTATAAGCCTAGTTGCTAGCTGCTCGGCTGGTCCATGACTGATGGATAATGGTCAAAATATGTTGCGTGTGAAGCAGACATACGCCGCATAGTAGCGACGATTGTGTGAGCAGGATACGGAAGTCTGAGGTCTTTAAAGCGTCACTGAACCCTACGAAGTCCATAGGACATGACTAGCCTTAATCGTCCCCATAAAAATTGTTACACCTGGTTCTAAGTATTAAGGTTTAATTAAAGGCAAGGAACCTAACCTATATCATACCATTCTATCTATGTCCTGTATAAGTTCATCGCGGCACCGAACTTGCACCAACCAATACAATGCGTAAACTGCGTTCCCTTTACTCGTCTGTTGCAATGGTTTGACCTGATGCTGCGATGACCTTGAGACACAGTGGTTGGGGGTTTCATCTCATATGAGATTGTTCCTAACTGGTGACAGTGTCCAAATAATTACCGGAAGGCCTGGTCTACGTGGCAAGGATATAACCTCGAGCGCATTTCTGCCCCTTTGGCCTTCTGTCTGCAGGGCTACCGCGACAACTGTTTTAACTCATCTCGGAAGCCTGTTATTAACAGAGTGCAATAGAGGGCGATCTTTTGCAATCTGGTGATCTCGGACAGATCAGTCCTGATGAGTGTTTTGGCCAATACAAAAACAAACAAAGACCTCCGAACGAAGTCGAATCAGTTGCCACGCCAGTCTTACGGATCGCAAACTTTAGAGCCCGAAATGTACTTTAGACTGATTTTCGTTATGCCTACTCGGCTACGGATCGGTCGAGGTGACATCTTCGATGTCTTTCTCAGGTCAGTACAGCACACGACCGAACTTTATCCGTAGGTGAGAAA